TTTCACAGCTCTTTGACACACACTCTTTGACACTTGGAACGATTGCATTTCGTTTCCTGCACATGCGCTGACATATCCCACGCGGGATATCCCACACGGGATGACCCACGAAAGAAAACTTTGCATATCCCATGTAGGCCAGTCGGTGAGTGCAAAAAGTGCACAAAAGTGCAACTGGAAAAGTCTCAATAGTTTCTTGTAGTTTGGGGGCCCCATATAAGAGCCCCATGGTTTGCTCTCGATTTCCGGTTGCAAAAAATAGTGTAAACAATCGTCAAAGTTCGAGAAACGTAGTTTTTCGATGACCCTTGCTTCCGGTTAAATTTTAGAGGAAAAAGTTGTTATTGAAAGTTGTAGAGCCTAAAAATACCTTTCAAATGATTGGTCATACGTTGAAAAAGGTTAATTAGTTTAGTTGCAAATGAATTTAAACCATTAAAAATAGCACTTTTTTAATTGTTTAATAACTTTGTTAATAATTATTGAATTTGTTGACAACTCACCAGGAATATTCTCCTTGCGAAGCTGAATAAATTAAAAAAAAAGTCAACTCGATCGGACAAATAGTTTATGTTTTATTCCATTTGTTAACTAAAAACATGAAATTTTTCAACAGAATTTCCCCACTTTTGGACCTGCGAATTTCGTTTTTTTTTTCGAGAGTACAGTTTAGGAGTCAAACTTTGATTCCATTTAAATGGGAAATTGATTTTTCTTATCTAAGTGCATAATAATAGACGTTAAAAAAGGGTATGTTTTTTTGACATAAACAAATGGAATAACTCAGTCAATTTTCACTTTATCGATTTGGTGTAAAGGGATTTAAATTTCATTCGTTTTCACAAAACTTTTCCAAAAAAAAATCCGACCTAGCTTCAAGGAGGGGGGAGTTAGTTTATTTTTTTCAAAAAATTCCTGACTAGTTAATTATCAATATTTTTAATTGCAATTCATACCACTTATAGTTCAATGTATGTATTTTATGAAAAAAAAATTGGACATAAGGTTTTGTGCATTTATTTTTAATTTATATCAAGTAAAAGTAAATGTATCCATTTTTCAACCTCTGAACGGCGGAGTGGGGGTACTCGGAGGAGCGTGATTCTCGCCGCCACAACTGAATTTAGCTGTTCAAATTTGCAAAAATGGTCATAACTTCGTTAATTATTTACCGATTTTTATCTTTCTTTTTTTAATTTGATGTATTTTTTTACGCTGAATCCAAAAATAATTTTATATGTTTTCAAAATACAATATTTTTAATAATAAAAAAGAAAAAATTTTTAACAACAAATTTTTAATTATTATTTATCATATTTGACAAAAAATTCTTTTCGTACATATAATTCCATTGAATTTAAAATAATATTATGACATAAAAAAATTAAAATTAATTATATATAAGTGTGTAGCATCAGGTTCACATATGCACGCCTGTTCAACTATCAATACAACGATGCTACACACTTATATATAATTAATTTTAATTTTTTTATGTCATAATATTATTTTAAATTCAATGGAATTATATGTACGAAAAGAATTTTTTGTCAAATATGATAAATAATAATTAAAAATTTGTTGTTAAAAATTTTTTCTTTCTTATTATTAAAAATATTGTATTTTGAAAACATATAAAATTATTTTTGGATTCAGCGTAAAAAAATACATCAAATTAAAAAAAGAAAGATAAAAATCGGTAAATAATTAACGAAGTTATGACCATTTTTGCAAATTTTAACAGCTAAATTCAGTTGTGGCGGCGAGAATCACGCTCCTCCGAGTACCCCCACTCCGCCGTTCAGAGGTTGAAAAATGGATACATTTACTTTTACTTGATATAAATTAAAAATAAATGCACAAAACCTTATGTCCAATTTTTTTTCATGAAATACATATATTGAACTATAAGTGGTATGAATTGCAATTAAAAATATTGATAATTAACTAGTCAGGAATTTTTTGAAAAAAATAAACTAACTCCCCCCTCCTTGAAGCTAGGTCGGATTTTTTTTGGAAAAGTTTTGTGAAAACGAATGAAATTTAAATCCCTTTACACCAAATCGATAAAGTGAAAATTGACTGAGTTATTCCATTTGTTTATGTCAAAAAAACATACCCTTTTTTAACGTCTATTATTATGCACTTAGATAAGAAAAATCAATTTCCCATTTAAATGGAATCAAAGTTTGACTCCTAAACTGTACTCTCGAAAAAAAAAACGAAATTCGCAGGTCCAAAAGTGGGGAAATTCTGTTGAAAAATTTCATGTTTTTAGTTAACAAATGGAATAAAACATAAACTATTTGTCCGATCGAGTTGACTTTTTTTTTAATTTATTCAGCTTCGCAAGGAGAATATTCCTGGTGAGTTGTAAACAAATTCAATAATTATTAACAAAGTTATTAAACAATTAAAAAAGTGCTATTTTTAATGGTTTAAATTCATTTGCAACTAAACTAATTAACCTTTTTCAACGTATGACCAATCATTTGAAAGGTATTTTTAGGCTCTACAACTTTCAATAACAACTTTTTCCTCTAAAATTTAACCGGAAGCAAGGGTCATCGAAAAACTACGTTTCTCGAACTTTGACGATTGTTTACACTATTTTTTGCAACCGGAAATCGAGAGCAAACCATGGGGCTCTTATATGGGGCCCCCAAACTACAAGAAACTATTGAGACTTTTCCAGTTGCACTTTTGTGCACTTTTTGCACTCACCGACTGGCCTACATGGATCTCCCAAAGATATCCAGTGGATGTCCTTGGGATATCCAAATTTCCGTCCCGTGAGATATCCTAGGGATATCACGGGATGGAAATGGGATATTCGCGGGATATCCCGTGCTGTGAGGGTTATTTAAAAAGAAATTTTTGTCAGAAATTGATCAAATTGAAGATTTTGTATTAGAATTCGTTGAAATTTTATAATAAATGAGTAAAAAAAGACACAAAAATTCAGAATTTTTTTATGAATTCTAAAAATTTAATTTTCTTTAGTACTTTTAATAAAAATCCCTGACTTTTTCCTGAATTTCCTATGTCAGAATATGTGATTATTATAATTATAATAATATTAAAACTATATATTCCAATTCATATTTTATTTTTATAAAAAAAAATTTGAATTAAAAATTTTTAAGTTCTATTTATTTTTAAAATTGCTAATTTTACTTCAAAAAGCGAGTGAGAAGTCAGCCGCGCGCGAATTGTTGCTAGTATTATTAAAAAAAAACAAAAGCTTGTACACAAACTGCGGTCAGAATGAATGAAAGAATAATACGAAGATTAAAATAGTTAATTAATATTAAAAAAAATTACTATCAATAGTACAATAAATTACTAATTATAATATATATATAATTAATATTGCCCAAATTTAAAATATATTTAAATTGTAATCAATTAACTACATGATTAAGTGCTATAATAAAAAAAGAAAGTGTCTTTTTTTATAAATAGCTAATTGCAGTCATATAATAAAATTGATAATGTGTAATGAATTTTTAATTACAGAGTTGTATTTGCTCTGGCTAAATTTATCTTTTATTGTGACATTGTAGTGTTTTGATGATTAAGCGATAAATGTTTGCCGAAAATTTCTTATCTAAAAATGAAGCGAAACATTTATAGACTATATAATGTATAAATTACAAATTTAATTTCGCCTATATATGTATACAGATAAACAAATATTGATTTTAATTTTGACCCATTAATTGGAGATCAAATTGTAGAATTTCTACTCAGATTTATTTTGGAAATTGAAATTGTTTAGGAAAAGCAAATGCGTAACTATCCAATCAAGTGTAGACTAATTCTTCAATACTCGTAGAATATAAAACATTTTTATCTGTACATGATTTTTTATTATAAAACGATAATTGAAAAAGGAACAAATACTAATTTTTTTAAAAAACCAATTTTTTAAAATAAACAAATTAGCAGACATTTTTTTCAAAAATTACAATTCAAATAGTAAAAAGAATTAAGCATTAAAAAATATTTTTATCTGCTGTCCTTTTTAAATTTTGTTTACAAAAATATATTTTTTAAAGTTAAAAAGTGGTTTATATAATTTATCATTGAAAAGCATAAAACGACTATATTGATTTCCAATTCGGTAAATGTCGCATATATAAATTTTCGTGATCGTTCTATTAAATTTTTCTTTTGTTTTTCTGCATTTAATTTTCTGTTTTAATCAATTTGTTTTTAATATTTGTTAAATCGTTGTTTTCTTTTGGTGAAAAAAGTAGGAAAAGAGGAAACAAATAGAAGAGAGCATTAAAAAAAATTTTTTATAAGTGAAGAATATTGAAAATCAACATTGAATGGTGAAAAATATATTTTTTCTATACGTTTAGATAATGACATAAAAAAAATCCAGGAATGTTAAAATTTCTCCATATTTTGAAGTACGTTTTTTTATTCCTAGACGTCATTATAAACTATTGAAAAATTGAACTTAAGCGTTTTTTATGATCAATTACCCCTTGACCCGCGAACAACAATAGCAAGAACAATTTTATGAATATAATAATACAAGATTATGATTAAGTTGCAAGTCCATCAAAAAAGATTAAAGAAGACCAAACAAATAAAGAAGCTAAATTCCAGAGCCTATTTTCGAACAATCAATTTTCTCTCTCTCTCTCTCTCTCTATGTCTTTGAATAATTGGCAAAGAGCTCTACATAAGCATTCTACACACAACCAAATCAATTTTTTTTTTGCAATGTTAGCCACAGTGTTGCATTTATTCTCTCAAGATGGTAATTCCATTGATTTAAATTATTAATGAATTAGTAATTTGATGATAAGGAAACGTCTATAAGATATGTACGAATGTGATGGTATTGTCGAAAATTCTCAGGATAAAAGGGAATTTTTTTAAGGAGAGGAGAAGAATTGATTTGTTGTGAAGAGGAAGAAGAAGAAGAAGACGATGATGATGATGATGAAGTAGAAGAAAAAAAAAGAAACAGGTTTACTCACACTTCTAGAATGCGATCGCCCTTGCGAACACCGGCCTTTTCAGCAGCACCTTGAGCTAAAACGGCACTGACATGTTGAAGTGGTGCATAGAGTTCCCCGTTGATGCTCCTTAGTTGTCCACCCTCACTGACCTGGCCGCGTACATTGAACCCAAACCCGGTTTCAGTCTTGTAAATTGTGACGCACCTTGGTCCCTGTCCTATTGGATCCGAGGTGTTGTTGACAGAGTGTTGAGGCACACGGCCATTGTTGACCATCGTCACTGTTGTATTCATTCCGTCAATGTTGGTCACTGGCGTTCGAGGCTGCACTTCCGACTCGCAGTCTGCCATCTTATTCTATGACTATCCATTGATGTTTCTCGGCTGATGGCTCACCACGACACTGCGCCTGTGCTGTAATCACAACGATTCTATAGCACCAGCTACTGAGAGAGTCCATTCGTTTTGTGGTGTGTGTGTGTTGCGCTATATCCATGGTACAAGAATATCAGGATACGTATAATGTGAGACTCGGTGGCGAGGGGAAGTAGGTAAAGGGAAAGTTTAACAGGAATGGAGTCACGATTCGTTAAGCCCGGGGATATTTCTTAAATTGCTTATCATCATACGGTGACCGTGATGTTGATGAAGATTAAGTTTCGGAAGATGGTCACAGTATAAGATTATTATTCCATTATTATTGTCCTTGTCATGAAAATAATAATTTTGAATTGCATAATTGATTTTGACGAATAGTATTCAACTCATAAGAAGGATTCTAAGGAATATATGTTGAAGATTATAATAGTTCTGGTGTTGAATATAGCTGATATTAATGTAATATTAATAAAAGTCAGAAAAATAATTTTAATAGAGAAGATCATAATAACCTTGTTGAGGAAAATCATCATAAGGGTTTTAATAAAGATTTAATGATAATATGATAATCATGTTAAGAAAAGTGATCTCACCGCAATATGAAAAATAATAATAATTGAGACACCGTTTGCAATAGCAATAGGAACCTACTCTCGATTAGACATCCTGATGCCAGCCAAATAGTAGTGAGAGTCTCTGGGCCACTCACTGATACTTGACTGGTGAAACACGCGCATGTGACCGCGCGTATCTGCAGTTATTGCACATGGTGCCACAATTATGCTAATGAAGATCGCTATTTGGGATCATCATAATATTTGAATTCAATATTATGGCAATATTGAGCTCAAAATTATGTGCTTTTTGGGTTGACAATAATATTTTTAATATGGAACAGATATTATAATTTTATTATTAATACCAACTAAAAATAATGGTAACAATATTAATTTTTTTAAAAATCTAGAAAAATTTAGATAAAATTTTTCTAAAAACACAGAAATCTTCGTTAAAATTTCAGCTTTAAAATAAGCCTACGAAAATTAAAAAAGGTTAATTCGTCTTTGATATAGCATTAAAAATGTGAAGCCGTGTTTCGACCGATTAGTGCATTGAAATTCAACTGTGACGACTCGATTGTGGCTTCGCGCGGCAGCTAATGAGAGAGAAAACAGGAACGAATTCATGCGGGGGAACGATGAACTTTTGAGTTTCTTTATATTACTCGTGAAACATCATTATTTATTATTCTCCAGCAAAAATTCGTCCCTGTTTTCTCTCATTCGCAGCCGCGCGAAGCCAGAATCGAGTCGTCACTGTTGAATTTCAATGCACCAATCGGTCGAAACACAGCTTTACATTTTTAATGATATATCGAAGACGGATTAACCTTTTTTAATTTTCGAAGGCTCATTTTAAAGCTGAAATTCTAACGAAGATTTCCGTGTTTTTAGAAAAATTTTATTTAAATTTTTCTAGATTTTTGAAAAAGTTGAAGTCAAGAGACAAAAATGAGAAAATTTGATAATATTTTTTATTTCTTTCTCACTCTACAACTTAAAAAATAATTAACGAAATGACTTCAAAGACGGCTTATTTTACGCAGAATTTAATCAGCTTTCTAACCGTATTTAAGTTTTTTTTGTACCTCCTTTTATTTCCGAGATATGATTGAAAAAGTGATGGCATGTTTTTTTATAGAGTCGAATGTAATCGTCCTGATAGCTGATACTTTTGGACGGTAGTGTAGATGATATGCATTAGCATCTTTTCTTAATATCTAGTATATTAAGATTTTTAATATCCACTTTTCTCAGTGTAATATGAGTGGATACCAAAACATATATGTTTGCGCTTGCGCAAAATATGACTGGAACCAGGTTTCCGTCATTTGGCATCGGCCCAGGTAGAAATTGACGACCGGGATGGTACCGGCCCGGTACAAACGGCGGATTATAAGTGCCGGGGCGGTACCGGCATAAGACCGCAATTTTCACCGTCTTGGTACCGGCAAATTGCCGGATGATAACTGCGGCAGGTATCCGGCATACGTACAGGGCCGGTACCGAATAATCCACCGGGGCGGTACTGGCCCGGTTATTGTTGGAAGGCATTTGGTGCCGGTTTATTACCGGCTGCACAACCGGCTAGGTACTGGTCCAGTACCGGCATAAGTCTGTTCATTCCACCGGCGCAGTACCGGTAAATTGCCGGATGATAACTTCGGTAGGTATCCGGCAACCATACCGGGCCGGCACTAATAAATATCTGACGCAGTACCGGGCCGGCACTAAAAAACAACCGGTGTGGTACCGGGCCGGTTAAAAAAATTATATTTCAGTCTGATTAATTGTTTAATTATTATTATTATTATCAATCTTGTTATTAATTTTAAATTGGAAACAGTAAATATATTAAATGCTGAAACAGAGAAACATAAACAATTATAGAAAAATCTGAAGACTCGAGGAATTGAACTCCGGACCCTAAGGCTGCAAAGTCGACACCACATCCGCTAACCTAAACCTGCATATGGAAAGCAAATGCAAAGTGAGCTTATAAAGTCCAACCGACATTCCACCTGGCAGCAGTACCGGGCCGGCACTAATATTCAACCGGTGCGGTACCGGGCCAGTATTTGTATTTTCTAATTTATTTTAATTCAATTTAAATTATTAAAAATAAATAAATAAATAAAAATAGTAATTATAAATAATAATAACCGCCCTATTCACCGGTTAAATACCGGGCCGGCACCAATAAGCAACCTACTCGGTATTAATATAATTGCCGGCACAACTAACTAATTAATTTATTATTAATAATTAAATTAATAAATTAATTAATAAATTAATTTTCAAATTTTTTTTCTTTTCTTTAATTCTTTTTCTGATAGTTTAACATTGGCAAACAACCGGAAGGACACTGGGTTAGTACTCATATTTTTGTCGGCAAAACTTCTGTGCCAGTAGAAAGCATTAAGTAAATTTTTGTGCTGGGCCGGTGCTGGGCCGGTACAAATATTATCACCGGCAAATCTCCTTCGGCGGTATAAAAACAGAAGTAAATTATAGTACCGGGCCGGTGATACGCCGGTGCTGGGCCGGTACAAATATTATCACCGGCAAATCTCCTTCGGCGATATAAAAACAGAAGTAAATTATAGTACCGGGCCGGTGATACGCCGGTGCTGGGCCGGTACAAATATTATCACCGGCAAATCTCCTTGGGCGGTATAAAAAAAGAAGTAAATTATAGTACCGGGCCGGTGCTGGGCCAGATACTTTTAATCAACCGGCCCGGTACACACTACCAGTACCGGTAGAAATCCACATTTACCACCGGGCCGGTACTGGGCCGGTATTTATTTCATATCCGGCCCGGTACCTTTTTGCCGGTACCGGCATATGTCCGACTTTACAACCGGTTCGATACCATGCCGGTCGTTAGTGCTGGCACACCTCCAACTTTTCTGCCTGGGGGGGGCCCCTGGCAGCTGGGGGCCCGGTGCACCGCACCGCCTGCACCTACGTCGCTACGGCCCTGATGATCATTCTCATATTTTCCAATTTATGTTCAGAATGATGGCAACAAGGTTAACATAATTATATGTTGTTTTGAGAAATTACCATTAGATTACGATAATGATTATTTTAATAATGTTACTATGATGTTAATATTTATATCAATATTTAGGAAATGAAAATAACAATGATGATAAACAGGGTGGCCACCGGACCTTGAAACCTTGAAAACCTTGAAATGGACGTGAATTTTGTCAAACCTTGAAAAAACCGTGAATTGGACTTGAATTTTTTTAAAAACCTTGAATTTTAGTATTATATATTATTAAAACTGAAAAAAAATTCTTTGGCCACTTCAAAATTTTATATTTTTAAAAAACTAAAATTTTTCAGGGTTGCCACAGGTCAGGGAAATCAGGGAATTCAGGGAAAAGTCAGGGATTTTTATTTAAGTAACTGGAAAAAATTTAATTTTGGAGAAGTTACAAATGATTGCAAAAATTCAATTATTTTCAAAAGTAATAAAATTCTTCGCAGCAATTCAATTATGTTCAAAAATTCTCATAAAAATTCAATTATATTTAAAAATTATAAAATTCTTTTCCAAATTTCAATTATTTTCAAGAATTTTAATAAAATTCTTTGCAAAATTTCAATTATTTTCAAAAAAATTTTCTCCATTCAATGATTTTCAATATCTAGTTTTAATAAAATTTTTCAAAAGAATTCAATTATTTAAAAAAAATGTTGATAAAATTCTAAGCAAACTTTGCAATAATGCAATTATTTTCATAAATAATAACATTTTTTACAAAAATTCAATTATTTTCATAAATAATAAAATTCATCATAGAATTTCAATTATTTTTAATACAATTTTAATTGAATTCCTCGAAAAATTTAAATATTCTTGAAAATGTTATTAAAATTTCTCGAAAAAAATCAAATTTGTTGATTTGTTTTCTTTATGATAATTTAGTTTCGAAAAACATTCATTTATTCAATAAATTATTTATTTTTGTATTTAAATAATTTCATTCTTGTAGAATTTTCCAATAAAAATTGATTTGAAAATGAATATTAGTTAAAATTTTGGATAATAATTGAATATTAAAAGCTTTGTAGCATGAATTTTTAAAAATACATAATTGATAAAATACATAATTGAATTCTTTCGAAGAATTTTAACAAAATGTTTGAAAATAGTGACATTTTTCGAAAAATTTACTTAAAATTGTATTAAAAATAATTGAAATCCTGTGAAGAATATTTTATTAATTTATGAAAGTAATTGAATTCTTGCAATGAATTTTTTCAAATTTTTTTTTAAATAATTGAAATAATGTAAAGAATCTTATTATTTATAAAAATAATTGAATTCCTGCATCGAATTTTATTACATTTTTTTAAAAATTTTTTTTTTTTTTTTTTTTTTTTTTTTTTTTTTATTGAATTCTTTTGAGAATTTTTATAAAAAAAGTATAGATTGTGAAAATATTTTAATTTCAACGAAGAATCTTATTATATTCGTGAAATGTAATTAAATTCTTACAAA